TGTTTAGTTTACATGACACACCTACAGACTGTTTGTTTTAAGTGTGTTAACTTTTAGTTATTAAAATACTATGGACATGTATGTTTTTTTATTTGAATTATGTATTTTAAGATATTTGGATATTTGTATTGTTTATTTTACTTTTATTTGAATTTTGTATTTTAAGATGTTTGGATATTTGTATTGTTTAAAATATTTTACTTGCGATTTTACGATTTTAGTTAAAATATTTTACTTGCGATTTTACGATTTTAGTTAAAATATTTTACTTGCGATTTTACGATTTTAGTTAAAATATTTTACTTGCGATTTTACGATTTTAGTTAAAATATTTTACTTGCGATTTTACGATTTTAGTTAAAATATTTTACTTGCGATTTTATGATTTTTATTTAAAAAATATTACTTCCGATTTTACGATTTTACGATTCGAGTTTACGAGTCGAGTTTATATTGTATGTTCCGTGTCGTGTTAAAAAAGCGTTTTTAACAACCTTGCACCCAACACACCCAAGAAAATAAGCATCCTCCCCTGGTAGGCTTGAAGGTATGAGCATCCTCTCTAAACACGTATGAGGGAATTACCATGCTATTCTTTTTTGACATGGTCAAGAAGATAACCTTTTTTTTTTTACTCACTCAAGGGATAGACCCAACCTTTTTTAGACTCACCAAGAAAAAGATCTATCTCCTTTAGGTTTAACTTAAAGAAAAAGTTTAATTTCTATAAGCTCAATTACATTTGACACCTTGAATCATAGTTTCCCTGCACTTGTTAGGTATATAAAAGTTTTTAGGGATCCATCATATTTGCATTATATATTAATATAGATATAAAGAATATTTATCATTGATTAAATGTTATCAAGATAAAATTACACTTCAAACCCTTATCTTCATTAAAAAAAAAAAAACTTGTAGGCTCTAAATATATCATAATACCTTCAAAATAAAGGTTCATAATCTTCATTTTTTATTGCATATATATTTTCATATTATTTTTCTCTAAAATATTATTGTATTTTCTATCTCTAAAAAGATATTTATTTAAATATCAGAAAGTCTTCATCTCCACCAAAAGTGACTTTTTGCAGGTACTAGTCACAAGTCACTTTGGCATACCAAACACTAACCATTTTGACTAAAAAGAATGGATACAGTTGCTATAACAAATTGATTAACCAATGGAGCATATGCAAAATATACATAATAGCTTGGAATTGATCATCCAATATAGTGAATCAATATGCAAGATATTCTCTATAACCTTCAGAGGCTCTATACGTGTTTGGTATAACAACATAAAGCCAAACTCTATTGAAGGGCTTAGTGACATCTGCGTCAAACTAGTAGCACGCTTTAACAACAATATAATCACCAAGAAAAACTCCACAAAGCTTTTTAGTGTTATCTAATAAGAGGATGAGACCACACGGGCATATTTAAGGAGATTCAACGAGGAAATGTTTAAAGTACAAGAATTGATTGAGTTAGTAGCCAAGAGTAAGGAAACATGCCCTCTAAAGAAAACTTTATGTCTTACTAAATAAAAGTTTGTTCAAAATAAAACAATTCATGTAAAATCACATATGGGTTAAAGAGGCTAGTTCGCTATGACATGAACCTCCTCATTTTTACAAGGACAATTATCATAAATGATCTTCTAAGTAAAGTAATTAGGGTATTCAAAACAATCTTAATACCACCTCCAAGAAATGTTTCCTCTTAAGAACATCTCTTATACTTATCACTCAGATCATCTCATGATATATAATCCTTGATAAAAATATAAGTTTTTTAAATATGAATGACTTAATCAAAATGACTATTTATTCTCTCTACATGATAGCCGAA